AAAAAAAGTAATATATTACTAACTATTTACTATATATTACCTATAGACTAATAAGTAAATAAACTAAACTTATTAAATATTAAAAATATTTATAGCTATATACTAATAAGTTACTAAATAAATAATAATATAGCTAGATAAGGCTAAGTTTACTTATAATAATAACTAATACTTTACTACTAAAGTATTTCTCTTTATAGTACTATATAGGTACTACCTTAAGAGTATAAAGTATATACCTAGTAGTAAAGTTATAGTATAAAAGTAAAAAGTAAATTAAGAAAATTACTAAAGTAAAAAGGTAAATAGTAAAGGTATAAGTAAAGGCTACTAAGTAATAAGCTACTTATTATAATAAAAGACACTTATATAAGGAGTTTTATTATAAAGAGGTTATTAAGCTTTTAATAAAGAATATATACTTTAAAATAAAAAGCTAGCACTATACTATATTAAAGTAACTATTATAAAGAGAATTAGTAGCTAAGTGTACTAAGTATATTTACTAAAGTAATACTAGTGCTTATATAATAAATTCTTAGTCTTCTTTTAGAACTATAGAAGAAAGATTAATTACTACTTACTAAAGACTTAATAAGACTTTTAAATTAAACTAAAAATAATATATAAAAAGTAAAAGAGATTATTAGCTACTAAAGTAATAAAAATAATCTTTATTACTTAGTAAAATAACTAAATAGCCTATAGAATATAATATATAAGAACTATTAATTACCTAGAGAAAGTAAAAAAAGTAATTAAAAGGTATAAAAAATAAAAAAAAAGTTTACTAAAAATAAAATAACTAAAATATTATTAGTAATTATTTACTAAATATATATTTATTAGTAAAACCTATTTAAAAACTATTTTATTTAACTTAAATACTTTATAAATATTAAGATAAAGTACTAATAGTATAAAACTATTACTAAAAAGTTAGTAATAGAATTATACTAAAGTATTAAAGTTATAAAGATTAATAAGCTTAATACTAGCCTTATAAGTAGCCTAGATAGTATTAATATAAAGATTAATATACTTATTATAAATAGCTTACTTTTTATTAGTAATAAGGTTAAAAATAACTATTTTATTTTTAGCCTTAGTAATAGCTTTACTTTTAAGGCTAATAAAAGTCTTATTATTTACTAAGTACTTAGTAAACTTATTATATATAAAAGTAGTAAGGTTACTTTAAGGGCTATTAAAGAAGCTATTAAAGGTAGCCTAGGTATTAGTAGTAAGCTAGGCTAAAGTAAGAAGTATTACTAAGCTTTTACTAATAATAAAGCTAAAGGGACTAGTAGTAATAGGACTATTAATAAAAAACTAAGGTTTACTAAAAACTTATATAAACTTCTCTTAGTTATCTTAATCTTTACTAAAAGCCTTAGCTTTAGCCTTAGTAGCCTTAAAAAGACTATAAAAGGTTCTTAAGGCTACTAACTACTTAGTAATAAAAAGGTAACTAAGCTAGTTAAAGACTATAGTATTATAAGTAGCTATAGTAATATTAAGGTTAATTTAAAAAAGGGTAGTATAAGTAAGATAGTTTACTAACTACTTACTAATATAGTAATATTTACTATAATACTTAAAAAAGAAAAATTAAAGGTATTAGGCTTAGACTTAGTTATATACTTATACTCTTTAGTAGAAATATAAGTAGTCTTTAAAGTATAGGTCTTATAAAAAGTTATAGTCTAATAACTATAACTAATAAAGGTAGTACTATAGATAGTAATAATATAAGCTAGGATATTATTTACTAAGTACTTAATAACTAGCTTATAAAACTTTTTAAACTAAAAGAACTTATCTAGGTGCTTAGGCTTATTATTTTTCTAGGTAATAGTATTATAATCCTTAAGGTTATTAGTAGCTACTTATAAAATAAGTATATAAGTATTATTATATAAGTAAACTAGCTAAAATAAGTAAAAGTAGTTATATATTTTATTTTTATTAGTAATATTAAAAAGTTTAAGCTAAATTAATTAGCTATAGAATAATTACTAAAGGATTACTAAACTTACTTAAACTTAGACTAAAAAAGTAATATACTTATAATTAAAAGTAAGCTTTTAAAAGATAACTTACTTAAAGTAAACTTTATAACTACTTACTAAAAGGTTAATAATATAATTAGTAATATACTCTTAAGTAGTAAAGTAATAAGTAAATACTAGCTAGATATAGCTATAGTTAATATTACTAAAGGTACTTTTTTTTATTTATATAGTAAAAATAGATTATTATATTCTAGTAGTACTAAGTAATACTATAAAGTTCTTAAAGGACTTACTAAAGAAAAACATTAGTACTTAGTAAAGGCTTACTAATAAAAAGATAACTTATTATAGAATATTTCTTTTTATTAACTTAGTAAAAAATATACTTAGTAATATAATAGCTAGTAATATAGATAAAGCTAATAATATAATAATATATACTAAAAAAGTAATAAATATAAAAAGTATTACCTTTTAGATCCTTAAAACCCTTATAAAGATTATACTTTATCTTAATAACTATCTATATATAAGAAATAACTAATATCTTAAGTAAAAGGTTAATAAAAGCTTAATAAAAGAAAAAAGAATATAAATTAAAAAATAAAGTTAAAAATAAAAGAATAAAGCTTATAAAATATTATAATAGTAAAAAACTATAGATTTATAATAACAAAAATTTACTAAAAGATTACTAAGTAAAAAAAAAAGTAAATAAAAGACTAATAAAAAAAACTTTTTACTTAGGTAACTACTAAGTAAAAAGAATATAAGCTAGGTAACTAGCTATATTATATTTACTTTTATATAGCTATTTTATTTAATAACTTATAACTTAGTAACTATATACTAATATATTACTAAGTAAAAATAAAAAGTATATTTAACTAGATAATAATAATAAGGCTACTATATTTTAAAATAATAAAGCCTTTAGTAAAAGTAATAAAAGAGGTCTATAAGGTTATTTTAAATAAAAAAAAAGACTATAACTATATATTATTATTATTTCTTTAAAGAGTATTATATAATAACTTTAGAATAAAGTCTAAAGGGGAAGAGAGTAATTATAATAGGATTAATAGTAATAGCTATAGGTCTTAGTAATAGGTCGCTAAGCCTCTAGTGCTCTACCTTACTATCTAGTTTTCTAGTAGTAGAGCCCCTATTACCTAGGCTCTATAAGCTTAAGTCTTATAATATACTAATACTTACTATTAAGCCTTACTTAGTTAAGTGCCTATAGCTATTATTTTACACTATTTACTAGTCTTTTTTACTAAATACTACTTAATATAAATACTTTTTTATATAGTAACCTTTTATTTAATTATTTACTTCTTTAACTTCCTTATATTTATAATCTTATAATTTATTACTTTCTTTATAACTTTATTATATTTAGCTATAGCTAGTTTTTTTTCTTTATATAGTAGTATACTAACTACAGCCTTAAGGTTCTTTATTTATAAATATATAAGTTTATTATTATTATAGTAAATTACTATATATTATAAAACAAGTACCTTATATAGTAAATAAATAAGTAAAATATAAGATTACCTTATTAGTATATATCTAGGTATATACTTAGGAGTATATATTCTATTACCTATTGCCTTCTATAAGAAAAAGCAACCTTAATAAATAACCTACGCTTACACCTAGCTCTTGTCTTATATTATTTATTTAGCTCCTTGTTACTACTTACCTTATTTTACTACTCTACTATTACACTTTACCTTTACACTATATTACTTTATATTACCTATTATAGCCTTACTCTTTCTATTAGATCTATAATAGCTTATAAAAAGGCTATATTACTATAGCTATAAAGTCTATAGTTAATTAGATATAAGTTACTAAATCCTTAACTACTTTCTTATTACTTTTATACTCTTAGTATTCTTTATTATAGACTTTTTTATTATATTTAAGTTATTTAATACTTTTTTTACTAAGTTATAATATCCTTATTACTTAGGCTTTATTTAGTAATAAGGCTAAAGATCTTTCTTTTATATAGTCTTAGATCTATTAGGTAATAGTTAATTACTTTATTATATAGTTTAATAACTTTAGTGCCTTTAGTTAAATACTTATTAACTTTATAGTCTAGATTTAGGCTATATTAGTAATTAATAGGTTAATTTCTTTTTATATACCTAATAATAATACTTTTTACTTTAATTAAGCCTACTATTTACCTTAATTAGTAAAGGTTCTCAGTATAACTATAAAAGTAACTAACTTATTAGTTATAATAAAGGTTAATATATATTATATATATATATACTATATACTACTTTAATTAATATTAATTAGTAACTTACTAGTTAGACTATTAATTATTAAAATATATAGATATAGTAGTTAATTATAATAATATCCTTAGTTAATTAGGTGTATATTAATAGTGTATTTATTAGTAAATTTGCTGTAATTACTGCCTAGCATTTGTGGCCTTTAACCTATGCATTTGTCATCTAAATTGCCACTTTTGAGTAGGGAAATCCATCTATCCAATGACGGCAACATTTGACCCACTTTTTGCGTATGGCCAATTGCCACACTTTGACAGTAGATGACGCTGCCCCTCGGGCACACGGCGTAGACGGCCTTGTGCTCATCGCCGACGCGGTCGCTCGCCCACATGTTCGAGCCCGGGATGATGCGCGTGGCCCCGTTGGATTCCTTGAAGTCGTCGAGCACGATCATCGTCGCCGCCGTGACGGGCGGCCGGGGGCGCGGCATGTGCACGACGCCGTCGTCGTGGTGGAGCACCTGGTTCCGCTCGCCCGGGCGGACGACGATCGTCTCGGCGATGTAGAAGAGCTAGTCCGGGTCCAGGAAGTAGTCGTTGAGCGCGAGCACCGGCGGGAGCAGGCAGAACTTGTCAAAGACGCGTGTCTTGCCCAGCAGCGAGAGCATGAGGTTCGTCCGGTGACCGTCGAAGGTGGTGGCGCCCGTCAGCGGGTTGTTGCCGTGCAGCCGGTCGATCTCGGCGATGGCTTCCACGGCCTCGGCCTCGGTGAAGGCGTCCGGGATGATCACGTAGCCGTCGCGGAGGACGGTCTCGACGTAGCCGCGGAGCGTCGAATCTTCCGGCAAGGGCCTCGCCTTCGGGTTGTAGTAGTCCTTGTCGACGGGCGGCGAAGCCTTGGGGTCACTGCTCGGGGGCGCCATGTTGAGATGGGAACGCTAACACGCAGACGCGTCTACAGTAGAATGCGTTTTCTGGGCGGGAAACGGAAGTTATTTCAACGGTTGCAGTCTCAAACTACGTTCGTCGGAACTGTTTTGTCTGACAGGGGAAAGCCAAGTTGTTCTCGAACCCCAAATAACCGGAATCAGCAGGGTCAAGCACGCGGATTGGTCCGCATTTGGCTCAATATAAGCTGATGTCAGACAGACTAGGTTACACCCTCCAGCCAAAAAGGACGTAGGGGGAGGATCTTATGGGTTAGCTCCAAGGTTCTGGTGGACTTCAGTAGTTGGATGGAATCACTCCTCGCCTGATGGCTCTCGCAAGTGCTTACTTATGTGTCTTAGCTCAAAGAATGAGCGCCCGGTGATGCAGGGGACATGGGTAGTAGCCTATCCTAGACTCAGCTTGGCCATGTTGATCTTGATGGCTTGGACCAGTCATAGAAAGCAAACGGCGGGACAGGTTTGGAATCATCTAACTTTGCTTGTATGAAGAGACAAATGCCTCCGTTTAACTGCAAGAAACCCAAATCTATCGCAATGTCCGATCGTGTCGCCAGCTCTGTCCAGTTTGCAAACGAACCCCGACTAGTGCCCCAAGCCACAAATGAATGCCGTCCTTCCTGGATGCTCACGCAAACCGAATCTCGGCCTTCTCCAAGACCTCCATCATGCTCTGCTTGAACGAAGACTCCAGGCGGCGAATCGATTTCTCCCTCTCTGCTAGCGCAAGCATATAATCACTCTTCATTGTCGTGACTATGGCCTCAATCTGAGCGGTCATGTTCTTTTCGGCCAATTTTACGCCCTTCTGAATATTACGCTTAACGTCTCGAACTGCTTCCCTAAACATCGCGTCCTTGTAGTAGTCAATATGTTCTCTGATTATAGCTCGCATTCGATCAGCCGTGCCATGTCCTAGGTCGCAGATCCATATCAGCAAGAGAAAACATCATTGAGGGGAGCCCATTTTACCTTTGACATCGGCACACTTATCGTAACCAGATGCCATGAACCTTACCACAGCTGAACCGCATGCTCGACTAGCAACTCTCTGGGCTTGGTTGATGTATGCTCGATTTTGTGCGGCAAGCAGCATGACACGGTATTGGTGGAACTTCAGCTGTTGGCCAAGCTGCACCGAAGCATCCATTTCCTCGTCATCATGATCAATAACCTGCTGCATGATGCTGTTATGGAACGAAATCAATTGCTGGGTAGTCGTGACCGAGAAGTTGTCAAGCACACCCGGGATGTCAAACTGGAAGACTTTCTCCCAGGTCGCTAACAGGTCGCCTTTGATGGGCTCCAAGAGCTCTTCATTGAAATCATGCTCCTGATATACCCCACGCCGTCGGCATGCTGCTTTGAAGACATTCCATTGAATTGTCTCCCACTTCTTGGCAGTAATTCCTGCATAGGTTACGGCAATGCGGCTCAGCCGAGCCAGCTCATCATAGAGACTTGTCTGCGTCGTTATCTGGAGCTCGTCCTTACAGTTTCCAATTTCTTCACCGAGCACCTATTCAAACATGTTAGTCAAACATTGACGAACATGCAATAACACTCACCGCTTCAAAGTTCTGCAAGGAAGCTGTGAGATTTTGCACATCAATGGCCATGGCAGGTCCAGAGGTATCTTGAGCCCAGATGGCGATTGAGTTGAGAATCTGGCAGATGCCGCTGAGTACCGCCTTGTACTTGTCAATGCGAAGCTCCTCGACAACTTTCTGAGTATGGGTTCGTAGCTGAGGAATCTCTGTATCTTCTTCGGTCTCATAGCCGGGCTGCGAGTCTTCGTGGCTCAGGACAATGCCATGCATCTTCTGATAAGCGTCGCTGCTGGTGCAGAACACAGGGGTCCGGCGGGCCAAGTCCCCGTAGTCACGAGGCCTTGCATCATGCGGCTCGGTGGCTTTACGGTGGCTATCAATGCTGTATAAATATTAGCTTTCTGCAGAATGCCATTTATTAATAGGAATTTGTCTCACGCTTGAAAGCTTTCGGCAAAATTTCGTCTGACAGCTTCCTTGGAAATCTCGTTCCGTTTCTGGATGCAGTGTGACCAAACCTCATCCATCAGCTCGTTCTTCTGGAGTTTCAGTTCGGAAATTTCATGCTGCTTTTCCTCCGTTGTCATAGCACTTGTGTAATCCTGAAACTTCTCATCATCAACTTCTTGGATTTCATCAGCGTCAACAAGCTGAACGGGAGGCTCTGTTCTCGCTCTTTTCGCCTGTCTTTGTTTACCACCACTGGCACCAGGCTCCTGAGTTACACCACGACGCTTTCGGGCAGAGTGAACTTCTTTCACCAAGGCCTTGATCTGTTGGTCGAGTGCTTTTGCAGTCTCCCATTTTTCCACAGTGCTTTTATGAAGTTTTTCTGATAAACTTTCCATGGCCGCGTCTAATTGGATGTCATCGGTCTTTGAGCAAACAATAGTCAGCGCCGAAGATGACCCATCAAACATGATCTGGCGCTGGATTGATTTGCTCATGAGGTCTTTGGCAGTTTTGCTGTCGACGGCTCTGTGGATGGGCGTCACGATCCAGATTCCAGAGCATTTCTCCATGTACTGGGAAGCAACTGCAGTCCGTGCTGCGTCCCAGTCTTGGTGGCCCGGCTATACAACACGTATTAGCAGCTGCTTTACGCCTCAAGGAACTGCCAGAGAAGTATACCAAATCCACTATAATAATGCCACTGGAGAGAGCTTCAGCCTTGGTGAAGATCTTGACAGCTTTCACCAGGGGCCAATGAGCTGCGGTATCATCATCTTTGTCTTTGGAGTCGATAAAAGGCTTGAGTAGCGATTTGATATCGGTCGTGTTCGAGGCTTTCATGGTTTTGGTCGTGCCAAGAACCTCACGAACGTCGGGCAGATCCGCAAGTTTAGCAGGAGATTTTGTGGCCAAACGTTGCATGTCCAATGAGGGATAGACTGCTTTGAGTTTTGCTCGAGCTCTAGCTGCATCGCTGTCCGCATTCTTGTCATCCTTCATACTGCCCCCATTTGTGTCAAGTTGTTTGAATAGAATGCTGACTTCGCGCATCCATTCGTCGCGTGAGATGAACTCTACCTCGGCGCGGTATGGGCTCTCCTTATCGTCGTCATGGTTGTACGACACCTCGGTGACGACAGCCGTGCAGGCACGCATGACGTTCGTAGGAAGCAAGCTGCTCAGCATTAGCTCGCCAGTTTTCCAGTCCAACAGGCCTAAGGAGACCTTACTTCTCATGTAGAACGGCGTTGATCAATGAACTTTTTCCATCGCCGGTATTACCGAGGACACCGATGACTACCCTCTCTTCGTGGTCAAAAGTTCTGCGTATGTCACAAGCCTGTTGCTTCCAGTTATGTGCGGCGTCTTTCAATTCGGCTGAAAGCTTCTCTGAGGACGCGATCCTCTCACAGATCGGCTTAAGGTCCTCCAGCAACGGCAGTACCTGCAGAGTGAATTTCTCCCAGGTCTCAGGATCTTTCACTTGTGTCATCGTCTGAGTGTATGAAAAGACCATAGGAGCTCGGGGCGCTGGCAGTTGGGCTCGGTGGAAGCGTCGACTAGCGTTCCTCCTAGCCTCGCTCCTGACTACCGAAAAATATGTGGCGGAACTCATTGATCTCTGAATGACTGGGATACGCCAGCCACGACGATTTGCCCCAGTTAAAGCTGTGTCTGTTTGCAAATATCCTCGTCAAACCTAGCTTTCCGATATTGTCAGTACTTATCGAGATATCAGAAAGCAAAAGGTTTGATTGGTGAGAGGGAAGAACGATGGTTGAGGCGTTCTTGAGGAAATGACAGGAAAGTTGGAAATATGGCTGCGGTACAGTTCCAAACCTTTCTGGGCCTTGGACAAGATCTGTTATGAGTCGAAGGTGAGGTCAGGGCTGTTGATGAGCTGACCCCGTTTGATAGGACTTGAAGTTGATGAGAAATGTCGATAAGATTATGAAAAAACAGAAAGGAAAGATCAGCCCAGATATCAAATTGTGAAATCTTGAGAGCAGAGAAGCGTTAATCACTTTCCATTACTGACATGGAAAGGTGTTGGTGTAGGGAAAGGAAGATGGAGTTGGCGATGTGTGAGTTGAGAGTTGGGGAGGTGAAGAGAAAAAGAAGAAGAGGAGACGGTTACTTCAATCTTAGAGGGGGGTTGGAGAAAGAACTACAAAGGGTAAGTGAGAAGTAGGGAAGGAGCTCATGGCTACTTTCTTCACCTACTACTTCACAGAAAACGACGGAACAAGAAAGCAATCAAGGAATGTCTAACATGTGATGTTGTCAAAATGCAAGACAGTTATCACACTGCCTAGGTAATTGAAGAAATAATATCTATCAACTTGTATGACCATCCCTGACTTGCCTCCTCGCCTATGATCGAGGAAAAATCAACAACTGCGCACCGACTACCTGCTGCATATATAATACCATCTCAGGCTTATGACCGGCGTCTCCGCTAGCGTGTATATTCCATCGCCCTATCCTCGCTACTTCCAAACGCTGTTTCTGATCCTTTGCTGTGCTAGGACATCTATCTTCTGTCTTGAGGTTCTGCGGCACGTTCCGGAGACCAGAGGCCACTCCGGTCTCAAAATATATTCCCTAGGGACCAGACACTCAGATCTTTGTATCTATCTCCCGTAGCGCAGTATAGTCTATGAGGATTTTCTCCTATAAGTCCAGAAACCACGGGTGAATGACACCCGCGGCCTCTGCTAAGGGTGAAATGGGTCTTCTCCTGTGCTTGAGTGGACAGCTTCGGCGCCAGGGTGAAACAGAGGCAGGGCCGGAAAAGGCAAAGGTGACTCAAGCCTTTTCAATAAACGAAACGGCACCAGGTACATGTCGGTGTCTGTCTTCGGTCTCCGGCAAATCGACAAAGGCCTTGTCCCGGGCGCAAGGCGTTGCGTTGCGTCTTTGGTCCCTCACTTAATCATTTAGTATGCACTTCCAACACATTCTTGCAAGCTCTTCATCCCCATGCCTTGCTTGCGTCAAGATAAACGCCGTCTTACTTTTCGCCGAGAATTCACGACAAACAACATGACCAAGAAGCCAGGGAACAGCAGTAACCCAATCGCCATCCGCCTTTGCTTGGTAGCTAGAGACAGGGTGAGCCCGGGTCGGGGTTCCTCCCACATATCTTACATACTAAGGCAGGCAGGTAGGTACCTTAGGTAATTAAGGTAGGTACGTGGTACCTGGCGTACCCCCACCATGCGAACCCCGCGGGCCGCAGTCGGGCGCCGCCCCTCAATCAGAGCCGACCACGTCCCTCGCAGCGCCCGAGTCAAGGACAACACATGTCATCGCGCTTTTTAAGGTAAGTAGTAAGAGTTCAACTAGGTTTTCTCTCACACACTAACTTGAGGTGTTCAGGTCCTCTAAGAAACACACGCAAACACATACCTCAGCAAATCATGGCGGCAACCACGAACCCCGTGGCGGGCCCCGGCGAGCTCTTCGTCAACGGGCGCATCTTCCTCCACAACGCCGCAGCTGGCCTTGACACTCAACCGTCCTTCGCAGAGAGTATGTTCGTCGCTGACGGCCTCATCAGGGACATCGGCACGGCGGAGGACCTCACGGCAAAGCACGCATCGAACAAGATCACAACGCACGACCTCCGGGGCAGGACGGTCCTCCCCGGTTTCGTCGACGGCCACGTCCACCTCCTGCTCCTGGGCCAGTCGCTGCGCAAGCTCAGCCTCGAGCACTGCCGCTCCCTCGAGGATATCCGCGGCGCCGTTCGGGCCTACGCCGCCGCCAACCCAGACCTCCCGCGCATCATGTGCAAACTGTGGACGCACTCCATGACCCCCGACGGCGTCGACAGGACCATGCTGGACGACATTGACCCCCGGCCCATCTTCATCGACACCAAGGACCTGCACTCGACCTGGTGCAACACAGCCGGCGTCAAGGAGCTGGGCATCGAGAATACATCCGACCCCTCGGGAGGCAGGATCCACCGCGACGCCGAGGGCAGGGCCACGGGTCTGCTCAGCGAGGCCGCCGTGCTCACCATCGTGTGGCCCCATCTCGCCCAGGTGGCGCCCAAGCGAGATCGGATGGACGCCATCAGGGCTGCCATCGAGACGTACAACGCCTCCGGCTATACTGGTCTGGTCGAGATGGCCATGGACGAACCCGCGTGGGACGCCGTCTGCTCTCTACGAGCCGAGGTACCAGATCTGCCAATGCGCATCCACGCCTACTGGCTCATCAGGCCATCCGAATCCGAGGAAGAGCGCTTCAGGCAGGTGGACCGGGCCATCGAGCTGCACGCTGAGCTCAATCAGACGACGTCCCCCGACCTGCGCATCGTGGGCATTAAGATCATCACCGACGGTATCATCGACGCCTGCACCGCCCACCTGTCCGAACCCTATGCCGAGGCTGGCTCACCTCCGCCCTTCTGGACCCCCGAGCAGCTCGGCCCCGTCGTCAGGAGGGCTGATTCGGCCGGATTGCAAATCGCCCTGCACGCCATTGGCGACGCGGCCATCAAGAACGCCGTCAACGCGCTCGCTGACCACGCTACGCCCGGCCGCCGGCACCGCCTCGAGCACATCGAGATGGCCTCCCCCGAAGATGCCAGGCGCCTGGGCGAGCTGGGGCTGACAGCCTCGGTCCAGCCTGTCCACGCGGACCCTGCCATACTCCGCGCCTGGCCACGCCTCCTCGGCGCCCATCGCTGCGGCCGTGCCTTCCCGTACCGTGAATTTGCCGATCACGGCGCCCTCCTCTCGCTGGGCAGCGACAGTCCCACGGCCCCTTGGGCGCCGCTGCAGAACGCCTACGTGGCGACCACGCGACGCTCGGCGAGGGAGCCGGCCTTCGACGTGGTCGTCAACGAGCACTTTAGACTAGGCGTGTGCGAAGCCCTCACGGCCGCCGCATTCGGAACTGCAAAGAGCGTCTTCGCTGAAGATCGGATAGGGTCGCTGCAGGTCGGCAAGCGCGCGGACTTTGTTGTCACCGACATGGACTGGACGCCGCAGGGTCTTTTGAAGGGCGAGATCGAGGCCACCTGGTTTGACGGAAGGAGGGTTTGGGCATCTTCTTCCGACATATGATAAGGCTCGCACAGCAGCAGAGAAGCTCATTGGTCGACCGCCTGTACTTTTAGAAGCATTTTTCGACCTCGTCGTCTCTGCCGCTTACTGTGAATAAAGGTTCCTCCGTCGATAAGAAAAGCGAGAGGGAGAGGGAGGGAAGGAGGGGGTAGAGTGGGACACAGAGTCTTCCGCCCTTAGTTTCATCCAATCTCGTCAAATGTTTCCGGGTTCGCGGCAGCAAAGCACTGGCCGCTCCCATGCCCCCAAGGCCAATGCGCTCATACACCTCGCCTCTCTGGTATAGCCCAATTCCAATTTCCTATTTCGGGCAATGTCGCGCTGGCGAAACAAAACCTCAAGGGCCCTAACTTGGGCCGGGGTGTCATGCCTTAGGGGTCTCGGCCAACCATGTGGAAGGATGGACATACCGAGGTCACCCAAACCAGAGGGAAGTTGGACATGGTCCCTACCTGACGATGCCAACAATATGCGTGGAGGCGATTCGAAAGAGGCTCTGGCAGCGGCCATCGCCAATATACGTCGCATACAGGAGCGATAGTTGCCGCGGCACGTGCCACCCATGTCATCCCAGGCAATGGATGATCAGTACAAGAAGAGAAATGACCCCCGCGACCTTGATAGATCAGGCCAGCCACAACCTTTTCCCCACCTTCTTAAGATCGAGCAGATCTCAACGACGCAGACATCTTCAGCCGGTCCTCCTTCAACAGCACACCAGAGCCCCCCTCACTTTCAAGATGCATCACCACGTGAGCCTGTCGGCCATCGCCGCCGCCCTCGTCCCTCTGGCGCTCGTGCAGGCGCAGGAGCCATGCGCCCCCGTCAATATCATCGTCGCCCGCGGCAGCGTCGAGGCACAGGGTACTGGTCTGTTGGGCAACATTGCGAAGAACGCGTCGGCCCAGATCCCCGGCTCCATCATCACGCCGCTGGTTTACCCGGCGCGGCTCGACCCGTACCCCCCTTCCGTGGCGGCGGGTGTGGCCAACATGACGTCCCTCCTGAACCAGCAGGCGACGCAATGCCCCGGGACGAAGCTCGTGTTGATGGGATACTCTCAGGCAAGCTTCCATGCTTCAAAGTGGACACAGTCGTACTAATTTATCGCAGGGTGCACAAGTGTCGCTCGACACCCTCTGCGGCACGGCGGACGGTCCCAACTTCAACACCACGGTAGCCCAGGCGCCCGCGGTCGGAAGCAAAAGTAAGTCGTGGCTCTGAGTCGATGTTCGAGGAGGGATGGCGTGCTGACTTTGATCCGATGTAGTTGCCGCCGTTGTCTTGTTCGGTGATCCGACCTTCGTCGCCAACCAGCCCTTCGCCAGGGGCACCAGCAAACAGAACGGCGTAGGTCCTCCCCTCACCTTGACATGATGATCGGGAGAGGCTGACAGTGCCACGTAGATCTTCCCGCGCCAAGACTTCTCGCAGTGTCAGAGTCTCACGAACCGGTTCGCGTCCTTCTGCGACGAGACGGACCTCTTCTGCGCGTCGGGCCAGAACCTGACCGTCCACC